GTAGTAGTAGTAGTAGTAGTAGTAGTAGTAGTAGTAGTAGTAGTAGTAAAGTGCTTGTTGTCTGGTTGTTTTGGGGGGGGGGGGTCAAAAAAACAACGACGGGGTCCCAGAATTTGTTTCTACCCCCTTGTAGAGAAAAAGAAAGAAGATGCGGTGTAACGGGGTTGCAGTTTTTGTTTGTACCTTGTTGTTGTTGTTGTTGTTGTTTGGTTTAGTTTGTGGGTGGTTCATTGGTTTTCTGAGAACAAGCCTCACATGTGGCAAACCTGTAGATTTCCTGTATGATGTGACTACACAAAGCGCAACTGCAAGCTGGAATCTGATGCAGCAAAACCTCTGAAGTGGTTTCAAAGAAGCCTGAAGTTGAATACTATAGACTCCAGACTATATCAGGAATGAACGCAGTGCCACATATTCTCGAGACATGAGATCCTTACTGGTTCGCAACTTCTGTGTAGGTTTGATGAGCTCGTGTGCGCATGTGACTGCTCACATGAATAATTAACGTGTGTCACCCTGCATAATGTGATTCCTTGCTTCCAGCCTCCCCCAATCTTCACTCGGCTTCCAACCATTTCCAACCAACCCATTCCACCAAATCCAATCAACGACACCCAGGGCTAAGGAGTCAAGATCAATCGTGGATCTGCTCCATTGGGTGTCCTGAGGAGGGGGCCATTATATAGATCCACAATAATGATCCGGGGAAGGGGACTGCTGAGAACATACTTTGCAAAACCAGCATGCTTGGTTCTGTGCAGTGCAACTGCATTCTGCATTCCGCATCGGATGGAACCTCCGGTTGCAACCCCACCACTAGCCCCGTCTTGCTTTTTCCAAGGGGCCAAAGGAGGCCGCCTAAGCAGAATTTGCTGCAAGTGAAAGAGCTAACAATCAAAAATCCACCACAATCCTGGAACACCAACCACCAGCTTCAAAAAGATGGGCCAGGAAGCTTTGCTTGTTGAGGAAAGAAGCAAATGAACATGATAAGGAGTTATTCCGAATAGCAGACGCTTCCAAGCGCATCCTGACCAAAAGCCACCATCAACCAGGCTTGTTACATTGGGCCACCCAGTTATTGACGCAGGGATTCTTGGAGAACTCCTTCCTTGGCAGCAAGCGCCAATTACCGCTACCGCTACCGATGTTCGTCACACTCCATCCAAGCTACTCCATGGAAACTGAAGTTGAGATCGACCCGGATTACCAAGAGAGGTCAAGTGACTTTATAGGACTCCTCAATTACACCCATGGGATACTCTATAGGGTCTATATACCTCTGCCGGTAAAGGACATAATTCTCTTGTGTGGCACACACTTCACCGTCCAAAAGATTCGAGACCATCACCATCACCGTTATTTTTTTGTTAACCTGTCTTAAAGTCCCAAACGTCAGGGAGTGAGCGATAAAACGACCTTACATCTCCAAAAACCCAAGATTGGCATCTGCAGTTTCAAGCAGAAGTAAACTCCCCTTCATGCGCTTCATCTTCCTGTTTGTTTTGGTGGGACCAAAACATCAGGACATACTTCTGCCAGTTGACCAGCTCCTCTTCCGAGATGCCCAGTGGACGCGGAAACATCGCTGTTGCACGCGATGAAGGAGGTGCTGATCGGCCGGGGGGAAATCGAAGGTACCTGCCAACGTGTCAAATTCTTCGCTGGGCCACAAGATGATCAGGTCACCTTTTCGATCCCCAAACCCTCTGCCTACTGCCATCACTTGTTGTGCGATGTTGTCCAGTTCAAAATGGCGGTTGAATACTCTAAAGAAGAAACACATGATTGAGGAACCGCACACCAAAATCCGCCGTGATAGTGATAGTGGGATCTATGCTCAGGAACTAGGGTATGCTTGCTTGGTTGAAACATGTTGAAAAGAAACCTACCTCAATATGCAATCATCGATCATCTTATGTAAAGATAGTGGGTCTCAGTCACTTTCATGTTCTTTTAAACACATCCACCCACCCCACAGTACCACAAATAAGAACCCCGAAAAGGCGCAAAAAGCCCCAAACGCCCATCCAAAACGACACGCACCTCTAGCTCCACGGCTTCGTAGCGCCCGGCCGCTGCGAGGGCCAAGGGTTCTTCGATCTCCTCCAGCGCCGCCTCAGTCGCCGTCCGGCCGTGGGCGCGGTCGATCACGTCGGGGGGGGTGCTCTCCTGCTAGGGCCGACTGGTTGGGTGGGTGCTGGGTGGATGTTGCTGGCGCTGGGGTGGCTTTTTGAGAGGCTAAACATCCAGATCTGCTCAACATGATGGTACCTTTACCAATGAAGTCCTTACAAACTCATTGTGAGACTGGCAAGTATCCAGTGGCAGCCACCTGGAGTTGGTTCTAGATGGCCAGGGACACTCCTGGAAGAACTTCTACTTTGACGCTTCACCAACTCGTCATGCTTGTACAACTGAAATGTTCACAGTAATGACATGCCGACCATCACTCGGAAAAAGGACTACCTATTCACATCTCCCTTACCCAGCGCTCTTCTTTCGTACAGGATCCTAGGACAATACACGAACCACCCTTGTCCAACAGGCCTTGACTTTGCAGCTGTACCCGTAGCAAGTCATCCCATCTTGGGCAAACCCTCCTCCCTTGCGGTCTTCATGCAGCTCAAAGGCAGGTAGCTGCACCGCAACGCCTCAGAATCGGCGGAGAACGCAGGTGCGCCCCGAGAACAGGAGAGAACATGAATGGTACCACTACCGCGGCAAGGGATTAACAGCGAATCATTCAAAGAAGACCGTGAATCATTTGTATCACAGCAGGGCGAGAATGCGAGAAGACACTCATGCGCGACACTCTGCGCGATGAGGCCGCAATATGTGATGCCCTTGGGCGTGTCAAACCAGCGACTGTACCTCCGACCCGATCCAGGCCACTCGGTGAAACCAATCCTTTCACTCATGGAATCTGCTTGACTTCAAAAGCCCAAAACCACCGGCCAAATGGATCCAAAACCGCGGCCCACCTAGACCGGACCCATAAAGACCACCATCCAGCCTTGGCTCAAGGGAGTTTGCAGTGAGAAAACCATCCTCCCATCACAAAAGGAACTCAACCACCCACCCACCAACCCACCACTCGGAACAGAAAAAGAACTTGGCCCAATCTCCCTCCTCCTTCCTTAATTCGCACACAGTGGATCGAAGAGAAAACAAACCCCAGAAGATGTGCCGTTCCTCCTTCTTTAATCCACGCCCAAGAAACGCTCCATCACCGCCGTTCCTGCTGCTTTCTGCTCCACACGCCTCATGTTCAAGGCAAATGTTCCAAGACAAAAAACAGTGTGGGGCTGCTAAACGTCTGCTGGGTATGTTTTGATTTGCTGGAACAAGAATCCCAACACACCAAGCAAAATAGGCGAATTGCCAATAGCAGGGCAACTGGTGATAGGCTTGACAGTCTCCCAACTCAGTAGACTATAGGAACTGCAGGATGGGTTGTGCTCAGTGCTATATACTTGGATCGAAGTTGGGCGATTCAACTCATCTTCATGACTTCAATCTGGGCAAGCTCTGAGTGACTTTTTCATCAGGCTGTTTGCAATATCAACCCACCAACACCGGCAGCAAGCAAACAGACTGGACCCAACCTGCTGGGCGCAGCGAAGTTCAGAAGAGATCTGGAGAAGACCAGCAGCGCTAGCAAAAGCGCCATGGCGCCAGAGGCGCCTGGCGAGTAGCACAGGTGCACAAACAGGTTTCTTAAACATTGCTCACAATGCTCAATGGACCAGATCGGATTATCACCATCGTGTCATCTAGTTGTGGGCGTGGGTATTCCAAGTTGATTCTTGGATCATTCATGTTCAGCGACAATCGACACTTACGGACTCGATACAGCCTGAAAAAGAGCTTGCCACAAAAGATCATAAGTCATAAGCCATACCTCGGACCCACAATAGCTAGTTTGCATTCCTTTACTAGATCTACTGTACTAGAACCCTCAAGGGAGTTTCCAACTGCGCCTGTCTGTGTCTTTGATTTTTATTGATGTCTTTCTCCGTCAATCCTGCTTCACTGCATTGGTGACAAATCCTGTCACTTCCAGCTGTTACACAAACTGGAAGTCCGATTTGTCATTTGTGGCAACTCCCTTTTTCTTGCTACTAGTAGCGATGCCCTTGTTACTATAGTGGCGAAGACCCTCCCTTTTTCATGCCCACTGGTAAATACTGGAAGACCCAAGATCAATCAGAGGATGACCGGAGATCACTGCAGCTCTGACAGCCCGTTGGGCCTCTGAGAGGACGTGCCATGGCGGAAAGAAAAGGCGCCGTCCAGGGGACCGCTGCAAGAAGGGACGGCTCGGCTGGAAGAAAAACAGATCTGTTGAAGTTCAACAGTTGAACGTCTCGAAACATAATTCACTTAAAACTCCGTTTGAATTGAGTCTTGTTCGGCACTATCACTAACCAACCCAAAGATTGGACTGGTAGCATGTTGATTCTTTTTCCTCAGGGCTGAGGGGTATTGGCTACAGCTGCTGGCATGTTGTGCTTTCAAGCATCTTGTGAGTCCTGTGTTTTTTTGTTCCAAGAAATGGGGCATGATGGCTTAAACTAATAGTGTCTCCAACAAACTAGTGCCAAGAAGGCCTCCATGCACCCATGGCATCTTTGCATGTCAAATGCTTCTGAGCCAACGCTCAAATGTACAGAAGGTGATAGGTTTCAAGAAAGCTATTTCACGCACAATTGGTTCAGACATATCGTCCAACTATAACCACAAGTAGGGCGAAGCCTAGGAAGTGCTCCAAGAAGAGAACACGTCCATCTTGATCGACCCTCACCACAGGTGGCGATCGACCCGTAATGTTTGTCAGGTCCCCAGGCCGCCGAGTCTATCCGTAGCTGTCACATGTCACATTCTCCTGGCCAGCTTGCAAGGCGGCCTGCAATTGCTCACCTCGGAGAAAGAGTTCCAAGGACATCGTGTAAACAGGACTTTTTGGGGGGATAAAATCCGAGCAAACAAGCGGAGAACAGGAGCAACATATACCAACATACTCATGGCGATGGTCTAAATTGATTTGATTGGTGACGAAAGGCAAAGGACTAAAGACTTCCCCAAACACAGGGCTCCACGTTTGGTCTGCGAGCGATGCATCATGTAACCGAAGAAGAATCTAAACGAATCTCGACAATCTAATCATAGGTCTCTTCGTCGGGCTTCTATCTCTGTGGTGTATGATTTCAGAAACCAGCCCATTGAAGGTCTGCATCGGCATCAACTGATACCGTTTGGCATAATCCTTCATGGCTCCCATCATCTCATGGCGCGAGCAGCCAAATCGTGAGTGCTTGAGTAGATCTTCTTCCAGCAAGACCTCTTGCACCAACCTCTGTATCTCCGTATCGCGCCCCAGGACTTGCCACTGTCCTGACCATGAGTTGGAAAGAAAAGCCATCCGCAGCTTCTCTTTCACCATGTGGCTCGAATCCGAAGCCTCTGGGAGCAAAATCAATCTTCCTGAGTTGTTTCTTGTTCTGAGTTCTATTCACAAAACAACACATCGCTTCATTTTCATCAGTGTTCAATTCATCACCGATGTAGCCCAGTCCCTTCATTGCTTGAAGTGCCAGGCTTGGTGAATCTCTCATGACAAAGGGGCCACCGCCTTTGAAAATAGAACTTGCGAGGCGACTCCCGTATTTCATGTATTTCTCTCGTCCGCCCCTGCTCCCTGCGACAAACGGCACGAAAAACGCTACCTGGCCGCTATAGGGCACCCAGGCCTGAACGTTTGAATGTTGATTGATGACTTGATGCACTGCCAAAGTTGCAAGTTCGCCTGGAAAAACAGCAATTTTGCTCTTAACATTTGCAAGCCAGAACTTGGCACAGGCTGGCATAAGGTATTGCCCAGCTTCCATGTAACCCAAGCTTTCCAGGACACCCTGAACTTTTTCTACGACGCACTCATCAAATTCGACCCAGCAGCGATCCGCAAGTTGCACTGAGCCAGTTCCAACAGCATGAAGGATAGCTTGAATTAATGCGTGAGCCACGGTTTGGGGGAGCAGCTCGCAATCTCAACACTTCCAGCCCACTCTCCTGATATCGCAAGCGGCCACGAACGGTTTGTACTCAGGGACCAGAACCACAAAGCTGGGCTTTGTGCCCTCCAGGCCCTTGAGTTCAAGTATGGTCCTGTTACAATCACAATCTGATGTCAACACTGCGATCAGGTCAACACCTGGGCAAGTGGAGAGTCCCTGCATCACAGATGCGATGGCCGCATCGTTGGGTTCCAGCGAAGGATCAGTGAGACGACAAACTGGCTGGAATTTCACATCAGCCTCATTGATCAAGCGACCCCACTTCTTGCTGGCTTCTCTCCCCGGCGGGCCGAAGACCGTGGTATGAACCCGCCCTCGCTCTGCCAAAATATGGATGGCTTGTTGAATATCTTGAATACTGTGAGCGTCTGCATCAACCAAAAGTTCAGTCCGCCCTGGATTCATGGTTGTTTTGGACTGTGTGAATATGCCCACCTCAAGAATCCATAAGAATCCTACAACCCAAAGCATACAGCTGCTGGGTTCGGCCAGAAAGCTTCATCCCTCTCCTCAGTGCAGCCAGCATCCAACACACGTATGAGTCGAGTCTTATTGGGTTGGTTTTCCTCTTGGTATTTCTGAGCCTAAAAGAGTTGGCAGAGGTTCAACTCAGATCAACCTGCAGCCCTTTTCAGCTTGATATGTGCTGGTCTGCTCATTTATACAATCACTGAGGAGGTTAGATGAAGCCGGATGGAGCTCCACTGTTGCGCAGAAACCTTTTTGGGGTGAATCAGGAAGCAACAGTCTGTCTATCTGCTGGTCAGATTAGACAAAGCGATGGTTGTTCGGGCGGGAGTGTATCATCCCTACGCCAACCGCTCAACACCCTGGGCGTCCGTTCAGCACAGAGGGACCAGCATCCTTGAGCTGAAGATAGTAACATGCTCCACAGCAAATGATGACAAGGAAAGAAAGGGAAGCAAAAATCATCAAGGTTCATCACCCACCACATCCAACAAAACAATGCAACAAAATGTTGCATAAAACATCCTCAGAAACCAGTCTTTTATGAGGGTGGAATCTATATACATAAATGTGTTTGTTTGTGATCCGAAGAATATCATCAACCATCATCAACCTATCTGCTTAGCCAATATGCTTGGAAGAAGGGCAAACCGTTAACTGAGGCTCCAGGCTCTTCATCATGCCTTGCACCTGGTCACTGCTGTAGAGCTCCTTGCAAAAGGAGTGCCATGATGCTCGCCGGAGTGCAAGGAGGCCTATAGATGTTGCCCCAGAACGTGATCTATACAGTAGCAACTCTCAGTGACCGTCTGCCAGAAGAGGGGTGAGCTGATGAGGAGCTTTCCATTACATCACACGAGAGGCAAACATAAGGTCGTCAAGGAGTCGACGACTCTGTTGCAGATTCTTTGATGCAAAAAGCAGTTGGGCACACCACGCCCAGAACTGCTAAGACACGCCAAGGAGATTCTTCCCACCCCGGTGGCGTGTTGAGAACCGCCCTCCGCCCCCCCGGTCCGGGTGAGCCAATCGTCCTGACCACGCTTCGTGGCTTCAGCGGCCATACCCTGCGCGCTGGCTGCCGCCTGTTGGACCCAGTCCTGGAGATGTGTCGTGATGGACGTGCGGGTGGACACATATGAGTCATCTCCAACGGGATGTTGATATCTCCAAATAGATAAGATTTTGACATGCCTGTCTCAAAAGAATGGGTTACACAGTTACACCCGCATCATTGCTTTGAACATTAAGGGAAACAATAATTACTGCATGAAAAATATTATGTAAATCTGCGGCTCCCTGAGCTTTTCTTGAGCCGCAACCATATCATTTGGAAGTTTGAAAACGGTCGCTTTGTTGGTATGCAGCAGATTTGAAATGGAAGTAGTTTCTATAGCATTCCTCCATTCAAGGTCCTTGTTACTAATGAGCAAAGCCCAGAACGGGGACAACTTGGGAGTTGTGCCAGGCTTGAGTCATCCGATGTTCTGTCCAGAAAAGGTGCATCACTGTCAGCTGTAGATTGTCCTGTCCACGAAAGGTCTGATGTCGTCTAAGTGTCAAAGAACCCTGGACCCTGACAACGAAACATCCGACATGCGCTTGTTCATCTGTCCTGACTCTGCAAATCGCCTGCCATTTGCTGGGCCTCTTCTCGGTCGAAGCAGCGTGAGGAATACACACACACGTTGTTCGAAACCCTGACACACATCTATGCCTTCGCAAATTCCATCCGCATACGCTCTGCCAAACCCCTTATTCTTAGCCCAAAGAGAATGGGTCAACTTGGAAGTCCTCACTGACCTGGGGTAGATGATGGAGTGAGTGAAGGGATGATCCTTCCACCATTTTCACCACCCATCTTCTCCCGTTGGTCACACCCTTCCCACCGGAGCGCATGCGTGTGCACCTGTTTGGTGTAGTCAGCCGCCATGCCCTGCACATCCACCCTCAGCTTCACCAGGGTCTAGGAGAGCGTTTGAGTGGTGAATCCAGCCATATTCCGATGCCAGTGGTCACTTTGTATATCTATACTCCGGGGTGAGAGTAGATGGCGAATGTTTTCTTTTTGAGCAATCTCTATTTATAGGTGGAGCACACCTGGCGCAATCTACCTTTGATACGTTAACCACTGGTCATTGGAAAAATTGTGCCATCCTCTTTCCCGGCGGTGTAATTTAAACATATGTACCTGCCATGTACCTGCCATAATCGAACTATCTTGCAATATATCCATGATGATTTCACTACAGTTGGCAGCCGGCAATGTTGATGATCTGCAGAGTGCGTACATATCCAAACTACCACGGTCATGGGACGAGAACATCTTCTCCATGAACTGCCTAGGTTCCCAGGGCAAAGAAGTTACTTTATAGTGGCTACGACCATCCCGAACCAAGCTAAACAAATTAACCAGGCAAAATCTCATGATGGGGTCCCTGACTGGCCCATCATTTGCTGCAACTTGGCTGCGCCCTGCGCACGAGCACAGTCCAGGAGGCCAAACTGACTCCCCGTGTGAGAGATTCTGACTACCTTGAAACGAAAGAAGCGTTTCATGATTCATGCTAGGTGCCATAGAGGTCAAATGACTTCGAATATATTGTTTTATCATACTATAAAGAGTTATATAATATAGTTCAAGTTCTATTCTTCAAGTTTGGAACCTGAGGGAAACGGCTAGGATTCCTGTGGTTTCATCGAACAGGTGGTGTGGTCAGGATGGCCACCGATGAATTGAATTCATGAGTTCATCCACATGCAGAAAGAACATGCATATACATGAGCTTCTGCCATCTTCAGGCCATGTTTTTCTCCCAAATCATTGGGTCTTGACCCCAAACGGACCAAAAAGTACAGTGCTTTCAGAGTAGATGGCACTTGCAAGCCGGCGATGTCCTAGATAGAGATTGGGGAGTCCACGATTGCACCACCAAACTTCGGGGCCCTTGGTGCCATCGAAGCTCTGCAACTAAAACAGTTCTTGGTCAAATCCAATTGATCTCACTCACCGACGCATCGAATCACATCCACTGCCCCTCGCCCACCCTCGCCTCTCCGCGGCTGATGGCTTGAAGCAGTTCGCCACCATCGCCTTGCTCCCACTGCTTCACCTGCGCGGCCAAACGTAATATGGGGACCCCAACCAATGGGCATTGGTGGATTTCCAAAGATGGAGCAGAAGCCTTAAACCGTCGGTGGTGTGCGTATGAAAATGGGGTTGGGCCTTGTTGTCGTCCCAATGGGATCTGTTGAGCAAACATCGGCCCTCCCCAGGTGCCCGAAGAGGTCCGCCGCGCCTGCGCTTCGGCGTCGCTGGAGGCTTTCTTGGCCCGGGCGTTCAGGAGCCCAAAGACCTCATCGTCCCATGCACGAGAGATGATGAGGTGATGTATTCAATATGTATTCTGATGTTGTGTTGTTTTTCCTGTTTTTTTTGTGTGTTTTCACGGGACAAGGGATTAGGCACTCTCATATCCTACTGTTCTCTGATAAGCACGCCAACATACGCCGTAGTTTCGCCAACTACATAGCGGAATCCTACCTCTAAATGCTCAGGACTTCCATCATTCATGCAAGAAACATGGTTCAAAAATGTTCCAATCATCCTCCAATCTCAGAAACTGTGTTGGACATCGCACCCGACCTGCTCGGCTTCTTCCAACACCTTCTCGCGTTGCTCCTCCTGTCAGCAAAGCACTGTTCGTCTCTTGGGATGTAGGAAATATGTTGAACATTCTGAAACTGAAATTATATGAAAACACATGGTTTGCCTTATGCTGTCAGGTAAATCTCATAGATCCAGAGTCTAAACTAAACGTAAAACCATTGGCCCAAATCATCTGATCCCACTCGATCTGCCCAACCTGCTCCCGGACGACCTGGTCTTCATTCTTCCCGGCCTGGAGGTTTATCGCCGAGTGAGTCTTTCAGGCGAATGTTGGGAGGATATGGGACGATAGTCATGAGCTCTATCAATATGATAAATTATGTTGAGGATTCAAGTCTGCTGTACCTTTACAACACTCTGAACAAACGCACATGTTTTCACATGAGTCTAGTACATAAATGGTTTGCCCAGTTCACACCCACTCAGGCCTCTTCTTGCAAACGTTGCTGCAAAGTCTCCACTTCGTTGCTTTGTGAGGTCTGTCGCGCAGGAGCTTCCGCGGCTTGCTAAAGACTTTGAAAGCGGGCTTCAGACCCTTTAGCACATGGCAAATGGCTCCAACAGCTAGGAGACGCAAAACCACGGCACGAACAGCGACCTCAACCTCCTCACAAATACCAACTTGGTTGGTATGAAATGAGAATGGGCTTCAAGATTGGGTTTCCCTACCCTCGGTTCAAGAATCTTCTTGGAATCGACACTCATGCCATGCAGTCTGACCTCAACGCTTGGACCAAACACTCCCTGGAGATCCATCGATGGTTGTTCTGTGGATGGAAAACGGCCCCGAAAGGATGAGCATGAAATCCGAAGACCAAACAGGTGAGGCCATCCACTTCGGTGATTATTCCAGGGGAGTGTAACTAACTGGGAGTGTATACCTTATGAACATTTCAGGATGACTGCAGCCGGCTCACACCACATTCTGTGCCCAAGCAACTAACCAAGAACAAAGGACACAGCCAAATGAGGTTAGTTAGTGCCTATTCCACCTCACTGCTATAGCCTGGAATAGTTTGGAAACTGAACTCAACATACACTGTACACTCAAAGACTCAAAGACGTCGTAAGCGGCACTGGAATCTGCTGGAAATTGAATTCTTTCGATTTGGCGATGTCTACCAGGCTCCCACTCCAACGCAAGGGCTTCGCATATCCCTGGCCTCATCTCCCTGCAGACGGTTCAATTCATTCTCCGCCTCCTGAAAGATGGTTGTGGAAGAAGTTATTCGCTTGCTGGAGTGGAATCATCAACAAGAGCAGTTCTTCCAAACTTGTGAGTAGCAATTAATTATATACTACATTCATATTCAGCATGATTTCCCACTGTTAC